GCCCCCTGACCCACTGAGGCGGTCCACACGGCTTCCCTCCTCTGTCGGTGGGCATCCCGGCTGCCCTCCAGAGCACAGCTTCTCCTCACACCTGGTGAAGGGGACCTCAGGAGCGGCCACCAGGGTAGCAGCCCAGTTCCTGCCACAGCGCACTGTGAAAGGTGCCCGGTGCCCATGCTGCTCCCTGAATCCCGGTGTACAGGGAGCACGGGTGGGGCTGCAGCACCTCGTCCTCCCTTTTCCTGCAGAACTGAGCCTTGGAGAAGTGGAGGCTAATCGGGGCCCGACGGGGGGGGGAGGGATGCAGAACTGAGCCTTGGAGAAGTGGAGGCTACTCGAGGCCTGACGGGTGGGGAAGGAAGTGTTACGTCTAAGTAGCTGGTCCTAGTGAGTACACGGTGCACGCATGTGCACACGCACACACTCACGCCCTCTCGCTTGCTGGTGGCATGACACTGCAGAAACACCTTTTTTGGTCCCTTAAGAACGTCTAGGAGCATATGGGTCCATTTAAGAATGAGACTGATATATCTCTGCACCATGCACCACGACCAGGTTTTGTATTTATTTACTTATCAAGAGAGAGATTTTTGCTATAAGACATGTGTGCTTGCTGGAGAAACAGAAAGACAAAGAGATAGAAAACGAGAAGGTATCCCCCCCAGGGGGGATGGCCATGCCACAATTCCTCCTCCACTGGTCTCTCTGGATCCTGGGCACACACGCCCAGCATGAGTTTCAAACTGGGTCTGGGATGCGAACCATGATTGGCCATGTGGGAGTCCAGTGACGTAACCGCTGCACCATCTGCTGTCTCCACAATGAGCTTTTTAAATGAAAGTTGTCTCCTAGAGACATAGGCCCCTTCAGGTGACTCGTACCTTCAGCCGGAAACACTGCCTCGGGTGCTTCTAGCTGAGGATGTGAGAGCTCACGGCTTGCTCATTCCAAGCCCATACGTACTCCCAATGCCGTCCTGCCTCTAATGGTCACCTCTGAGCTCCGCGCCCTGTGCACCTTGTTGTTCTGAATATTGCTCTGCAGCCCCATCCCTTTCCAGATGATCCCTTCCCAGTGCTGGAGTCCCTTGCCTGGGGCCAGTGTGGCTGAGTGGGCAGCTGCTGTCTCCACCCACCCTGGCCCTGTGGCTGAGCGGCCTGTGTGCACAGCTGAGATGCCTCCTACACATTGTGGCATGCCCAAGGGACCGTGTTCAGGGCAGGTGTGCCCATACCTGTCATGCGCCTCCTCAGGGCCTCAGGACGGGCCCACCTGCCTTGTGTTCTTCCCACCCTAAGGCAGAGAGTTGTAATACTTGAGGAAGAGCCCTGTGGGCCAGTTTTGAAACCTACTAGCTAGGCCCAGCTGGGTACCCGTATCCATTTCATGCCAGTCCATGTCTCTCCTGGACAGGCCTGGGGTGACTGGCATCTTGCTGACCTGACCCTGCTGTGCTTCCTCCGGGCCTGCTCTTTGGACACTTCTCTGCCATCCGGCCCAGACTCAGGGTTCCTGGGGGCTCTGCAAGGAGACCTGGGCATACCCGAGGTGAAGTGTGAATGCGCCTTGGACCCTGGCAGCTGCCAGAGGCACTGGCGGCCCCCAGGGTCCTGTGCTGTGTCCTGAGACAGGGCGAGGTATAGAGACAGAGGTGGAGTTGGAGAAGGTGGGGCAGTGCCCAGGAGCAGGGCACAGCCCCAGTTCTGCCTCACCTCCTCCAGCTCTTCCCTGGCTTCATTCTCTGCTCTTCCTCCTTTCGGGGACTTGTCCAGCTTCTTCCTCTCCGGGCCCCGTCTCTCCCTGCCTCTCAGTCCTCTGCTCCAGCTCTTCCTGGTTCCCTTGGGTGGCGCTCTCCTCTCTCTGTCGTGCCCTCTCCCAGCCCTGTTTATTTACAGGATTTTTGCTTCCAGACCAACTCTGTTCCTGATTTATTCTTGCAGTGTGGCTGGACTAGGGGGTCAGGGGCTCAGAGGCCTGTGCTCAGGCCAAAGGGGCCGTGGGTCCTTGGGCATCTTCTTCCAGAGCCTAGGAGCTCCCTTGTCACTGGGAGAAGTGGGGCTGCACCTTGCAGGGACATGACCCGGGCACGGCTCTGCTGTGTCTCTGTCACCTCCTGCCCAGTTCCCGCTGCCATTCAGATGGCCTCAGGCCTCATTTTGTGACTTCCAGGTCCCCTGCTGCTGCTAACAGAGCATGTTGTTTTGTTTCAGGACAGATCACTGCGGCCAGAGGAGATCGAAGGTAAAATTTGGGCCCTTGGAATACAAGGCTGCTCAGCCTTCCAGGAAGGAGGGAGGTTGGAGGGAAGAGAGGCAGAGACAGCTTGGCCTCCTGGGCTCAGGCCTGACACAGCAGGGCATCCTTGGTGGATCCAGACAGAGGAGGAGCTAGCAGGAAGCCAGGAAGTGCTGCAGGGTCCCAGGGACTTCCAGGGATGTCTCTAAGCTGGTGGGCCTTTGGGTTGCCTCTGTCCCCAGGAGATCTGCAAGTCCCACTCCAGTCCCATCTGCCCTTGTTCACTTCCCCAGAACTCCGAGAGGCCTTTAAAGAATTTGATAAGGACAAGGACGGCTACATCAACTGCCGGGACCTGGGCAACTGCATGCGCACCATGGGCTACATGCCCACCGAGATGGAGCTCATCGAACTGTCCCAGCAGATCAACATGAACCGTGAGTCCCTCTGCCGGCTCCTCCTTCCTTCTGCTCCTCAGTCCGTGGTCATCCACAGTCAGATGCCCTGGGTCCAGAGCCCATGCACACCTCTATTTTTTTTTTTTTTGAGAGGTTTTCACTGTAGGGCGCGTGCGCTCGCCAGACAGACAGAGAGAGACAGAGAGACAGAAAGCGAGAAATCACCTCCCAGGGGGGATGGTCATGCCGCAATCCCTTCTCCTCCATTCTCCTCTCGGGATCTTGGGCACGCACACACGCACATGTGCCCGGCATGAGTTTTAAGCCACCGGGTCTGGGATGCGAACTGCGGTCGACTATGTGAGAGTCCAGCGACATAGCCATTACGCTAACTGCTGGTTCCCACCTCTTTTTTTTTTTGCATAAAGAATTATTTAATTTATTATCATCATTATTATTTGTTTAATTTGACTAGAGAGAGAGAAAAGGAAAGTAGGAAAGCAAGCCTCCAGGTCCAGGACTTGAACTATGGTTGGCCATGTGGGAGTCCAGTGCCCCAGTCACCACGCCACCTGCTGGGCCCTCCACGTCCATTTATTTTCAGCTCTGTGACCTAGGACAAGCCATTTATTCCCTCTGAGCCTCAGCTTCCTGCCAGTGAGATGAGGGTTGTAACAAGGGGAGTGGAACACAGGAAATGAATCAGGGGATATACATCAGACAGCCCAGTGTTGGGTTTATGTTAGGAAACAAACTATGTTTTTATTATTTTTTTAGAATGATTTACTTCATTTTATTTATTATTATTATTTTTGAATTTTCTGTAGGACACACATGCTCACCAGAGAAAGACAGAGAGAGAGAAAGCAAGCCTTTAGATCTGGGACTTGAACCACAGTCGACCACGTGGGAGTCCAGTGCCTTAATCACTGTGCCACCTGCTGGCCCCGATGCCATTATTTGTACTTGTTAATTTATTATAAAATATTTGTCATAGGGCCAGCAAATGGCATAGTGGTTTCATCACTGGACTTCCACATGGCTAACCATGCTTTGAGTCCCAGACCTGGTGGCTTGAAAATCATGCCAGATGCTTGTGCGTGTGTACCCGAGATCCTAGGAGGAGAGTGGAGGAGAAGGGATTGTGGCATGGCCATCCCTTCAGTGGGGTGCTTTCTCGCTTTCCTTCTCACTGTCTCTGTCTCTCTGTCTCTCTCTGACGAGTACGTGCTCCCTAGAGCAAAAACTTCTCAAAAATAATTTTTTTGCGATAGGGCACATGAACTCACTGGAGAGAGAGAGAGAGAAGAGTGTGAGTGAGTGAGAAAACACCTCTGCGTGCGGTATCGTCATGCCACAATCCTTCCTCCTCCATCTCTCCCTCCTTTCAGGATTTTGGCCACACACACACACACACACACACACACACACACACGCCTGGCGTGTTTCTCAAGCTCCTGGGACTGGGACTCCGACCACATAGTCGGCCATGTGGGGTGCAGCTTCCACCACGGTGGAGCTGGCCCAAGGGATGCAATTATCATTATGCTTTTCTGGCTTACTCTGGGTTCTCCCCTAAGCAAGCCTGGACACAGATCTGAGTGTGAGGCATTTGTCTGGTCGGTACAGGAAGGCACTCGGAAGTAGGGAAGTGAGATGGGGAAGGAAGAGCCCGCCCAAGCCAGCTGCCACTGCAGTCTAACCTTGCTGGCAAACTCGGGAGTCAGTGCAGAGTGCCCACCGCAACCTTATCTCCCCAGCCCCCAGCTCTCGGGATGGTATTTATACCCCTAACCTGCGCTAGTCACTTGTTGAAAGTGTGATGGGCAGGAGGGTGCCAGCTCTCCAGCCCTTCCTCTATCATTAAGAAAACCACTTGGAAACTGAACTTCGATTCGTACAAGGGTAAGGCTGAAGACATGTGGGCCAGGCACCCAAAACTTGTTTCTCTCTGCCTTTTTTGTTTTGTTTTGTTTTATTCATGATAGCGCTTATGCAAGTGAAGCAAGAGTAAGAGGGACAGAGAGACAAGCCCAGGGTCTGGTCATGCCACGATCCCCTTTCTCCAGTCTTCTAGTCCATTGGATCCCACACTCTGGGCATATTTCAGGCTGACCAGGCAGGGGATTTGAGCTACAGTGGCCATGTGGGATCTGGCCTCTCCTAAACAGAGCATCATGGCCGCACCGTGGAGCTGGCGCTCTCTCTGCCTTTCTGTGTGTGTGTGTGTGTGTGTGGCTGTCTCTCGGTCTCTGAAATTCTTCGCCTGTCTCTGTAACCCAGTGTTTCTTTCTCCCATCCACAACCACCTCCATCTATTTCCTAACTGTTCCTTTAGTCAACCCCTGCCTCCTTCTCCCCCTAAGCCATTCTTTGACCGCCACCTCTCTATGGCTCCCATCCTCGTTTGGCCTTTGTCATACCCTGGACCCCTCGATGAGCAGGTCAAGGTGGGACTGACAGTTCTATTGGTTACCTAGTTGGAGATGGAGAACAGGAATGGGTGACCTAGCCCTTTCTCTTTCTCCAGTGGGTGGTCACGTGGACTTTGATGACTTCGTGGAGCTAATGGGGCCCAAACTCCTGGCGGAGACGGCAGATATGATTGGAGTAAAGGAACTGCGGGATGCTTTCCGGGAGGTGAGTAATGGGCGATGACGGGCAGGGGTGGGTAGGCTGTTAGAATCCCATCTCCAGGATGGCTACTTGAAAAGATGCCTGAGCTTGGGACCAGCAGATAGAATAATGTCACTGGACTCCCACGTAGTCGACCGCAGTTCAAGTCTCAGACCTGGTGACTTAAAACTCATGCAGGGGGACCAGCAATTGGCGTAATGGCCATGTCTCTGGACTCCTACGTAGTCACCTGTGGTTCGAGTTCCAGACCCAGTGGCTTAAACTCACACCGGGCGTGTGTGCATGCGTGCCCAAGATCCCGAGAGGAGAACAGAGGAGAAGGGGTTACAGTGTGGCCATCCCCCCAGGGGGGGTGATTTCTAGCTTTCTGTCTTTATGTCTTTCTCTGACTTTCTGGTGAGAGCATGCGCCCTATAGCAAAAAAAAAAAACAAAAAAAAAAAAACAAAAAAAAAAACCTTTCAAAAACAACCCTCATGCTGGGTGTGTGTACGTGAATGGAGGAGAATGGAGGCCTGAGTCCCTGAGTCCCAGACTAGCAGAAGAAGCTTGGGCAGAGAAGGGTCTCTGGGAAAGTGAGGTACAGTGACTCTGGAGAAGGAGCTCAACCTCAGGATCTCCTCCCAGCAGTCTCCGTGTTGTAGCTGCCTCACCCTCCTTCCTGCCCTCCCTAGTTTGATACCAACGGTGATGGGGAGATAAGCACCAGTGAGTTGCGAGAGGCCATGAGGAAGCTCCTGGGTCACCAGGTGGGGCACCGAGACATAGAGGAAATTATCCGAGATGTGGACCTCAATGGAGATGGACGAGTGGACTTTGAAGGTAGGTGGGGCTTCAAAGTGGAAAAGAAGCAAGCCAGAAGAGGCCATCCATGGAGCCCTCTAACTGTGTATCCATCGTGCAGACATCACATCAACTCCACGTCCCTACCCCCTTCTGTCCTCCCATCCCTCCATCTGTACACCCCTCTAATCTCTTCCCATCTCTCTACCCATCCATCCAGTTTCCATTCATCTTTCCATATCTGTCTCTCCAATTTCCATCTGTTCATCCATTCATCTCTTTGTTCAGACACCCATTTTTCCATTCATCTATCACTTCAGAATCACCCATACAGTTATCTGTCCATTCATGCTTCTGTCCATTCATGCTTCTGTTCATTCTTCTGTAAGTTCACCCACCATCCATCTAAACATCCATTTGTTTATATTGCTCCATTCATGCAGCTATACTTCTTTTATAAAAAAATTATTTTATTTAACTTTATTTATTTTAATTTGACCAGAGAGGGACAGAATGAGAGAGAGAGAGGGGAGAGAGAGAGAGAGAGAGAGATGGAAAGTGAGAGAGCAGGCAACCAGGTCCAGGACTTGAACCGTGGTCGGCCATGTGGAAGTCCAGCACCCTTAACCACCATGCCACCCACCAGCCCCGTGCGGCCATACTTCTGTCCTTCCGTTTTTACATTCATATGTCTTTCTCCATCCATCTGTGCTTTTAGACATATGTTCATTGGCCTGTCCATCCATTCATTCAGTCATTCCCCATGTCTATAACCCCTAACTGCTGGTTGTAGTTATTTGCCGGCCTGATGGTGAATTTTTCCAGAAAAGGAATCCCATTTTCTTTATCTCCTTATTTCCTGTATAACTCAATACCTGGCACAAAGCTAATGCTCAGTAAAAGTTTTTTTTTTTTTTTTAAGGAGTCAATAATAATCACAGTAGTTATCATTTTTTTAAAGAATTATTTTTAATTTAATTTAATTTACTCATTCATTTATTTTAACTTGACCAGAGACACAGAGAGAGAAAAGAGGGAAAGCAAGAAAGCAAGCCGCCAGGTTCAGGACTTAAGCCGTGGTCAGCCACGTGGGAGTGCCCAGTGCCTTAGCCACCACGCCACCTGCTGGTCCCCGAGTAGTTATCATTTATTGTACATTAATTATGTATCAGTCATTGCATGAAGTTGCTTTACATATATCATCTCACTTAATTCTATCATGACTCTATGGATTGTACTATGACTTCATGTTACAAATTAGGAAACGGAGGCTCAGAGAAATAATATAAGTTGCTCAAGATTGCCTGACGATTGCGGCCAGCAGGGCACTTAGTAGTTAAAGCGCTGGACTACCACATGGCCAACCTCAGTTTGAGTCCTTGATCTGAAGGCTTAAAACTCATGCTAGGCACATATGTGTGCGTGGCCAAAGTCCTCAAAGGAGAATGGAAGAGAAGAGATTGCGGCCTGGCCATCCCCCGCCCCCGGGAGTGATTTCTCACTTTTTCTCTCTGTCTCTCCAGCAAGCACACATGCCTTATGGCAAAAATCTCTCTTATGGCTGGGGCACAAACCAAGGCTTGGAATTTCAACTACTATGTAATCTTGCACATGACACCCTTCGAGGCACCATGGGATACAGGGGAAAATATTGACTGCATTCCGAGCAGAAAGACAAGATAAACTTGTGCTAGACTGAGTGTGTTCAAAAAACAAAGATTGGAAAATTTATTTCTGGGGACTAGTTGATTTTTTTTTTAAGAATTATTTATTACTTTTAAATTATTATTATTATTATTATTATTATTATTTCACATGAGTTCACCAGAGAGAGGGAGAGAGAGAAAGAGAGAGGGAAAGTGAGAAAGGAAGCCACCAGGTCTGGGACTTGAACCATGGTTCGCCAGGTGGGAAGTCCAACACCTTAACCACCATGCCTCCTGCCAGCTTCTTGGACCAGTTGACTTTCAAGGGAAGGAGAGTCTGGATAGATGGAGAGAAGGTGGCTATCTCAGACCTGAAAAATCTCAGTGTCCAGGTAGTGCCCAGGTAGTGTCCTCTCCACAGATGATAGCCCTTCCCTGGAAGCCATTCATTTGCCAGGATATACTGTACACCTGCTCTGTGCTGTCTGGAGAACCTCAACACCAACAAGAAAAACACAGGAAACATGAGTGCTATGTTGGAGAAGTACAGCAGGCCACTGAGTATAGAGGAGGCACCTGTGCCAAGCCTGGGGTAGGGATTAGGGAAGACTTCCTGGAGGAGGTTATAAATAAGTGAAGCCGTGGGCCAGCCTGGTGACATGTGGTTAAAGTGCTGGATCCCACATGACTGATTGTGTGGTTCAAGTCCTTGACTCAACAGCTTAAAAAACACGCCAGGGGTGTGTGTGTGTGTGTGTGTGTGTGTGTGTGTGCGTGCGTGCACGCACGCGTGTGCATGCATGCCCACTATTCTGAGAAGAAAATGGAGGAGAAGGGATTGCTTTATGGTTACCCCGCTGGGGGAGGGTTTCTCTCTCTTTCTCTCCAGCGAGCACATGTGCCCTATAGCAGATTTTTAAGAAATTAAATAAATAAATGGCACCCCGAGAGATGAGTAGGAGCCACCAAGTGAAAGGAAGGGAAGGATGTTTACGAATTGAGAACTTACGTCTTACATTACTTTATCAAATTTTATTCATTTTAGTTTTGTAGCTATTTGTTTCTTCTACCTTATTTCTTATTTGTTTTTTAGAGAGATTTTTTGCTATAGGACATAGGTGCTCACCAGAGGGAGAGAGAGACAGGAAGTGAGAAATCAACCCCCAGGGGAGTTGGCCACACTGCAATCCCTTCTCCTCCATTCTCCTCTCAGGATTTAGGGCATGCATGCACATGTGCCTAGCGTGAGTTCTGGCATGAGTTAGATTTTGTTGTTGTTGTTTTAAGAGAGATTTTTGCTATAGAGTGCATGTGCTGGCTGGAGAGAGAGAGACAGAGAGACAGAAAGTAAGAAATCACCCCCCAGCAGGGATGGCCATGCTACAATCCCTTCTCCTCCATTCTCCTCTTGGGATCTTGAGCATGCACACACATGTGCCCAGTGTGAGTTTGAAGCCACTGAGTCTGGGACTCAAACCAAGGTTCAAGTACGTGGGAGTCCAGCGATGTAACCATTACGCCGTCTGCTGGTTCCTCTTCTCCCTTATTTAAAACACTTTGAGAACCACTGTTACGTCTCATGTGTTTTTTGTACCCCAGCATCTAGCTCACTGTACAATCTAGAATACATATTTGAGAAAAGGTTAAAAAAAAAAAAAGAAAACTCACATCCAATAGAAGCCTTCTGTAGGTGTTTATAGCAGCTGTATTCATCGTTGCCAAAGTTCAGAAGCAACCACGATGTCCTTTAGTGCATGAGTGGATAAACTGTGGTACATCCAGACAGTGGAGTGTTATTCAACACTGAAAAGAGATGAGCTGTCAGGCCGTGAGAAGACATGGAGGAACCTTAACTGCATATTGCTAATGGAAAGAGACAGTCTGGAAGGACTCCATTCTGTGTAATTCCAACCGCACGACATCCCGGAAAAGGCAAAACTACGGACACAGTGAAAGGATCAGTGGTTGCCAGGAGTTCGTGGGGAGGGAGGGCCGAACAGGCAGACCAGAGGATTCTGAGTGCAGGGAAAATACTCCATGTGACACTCCCGTGGTGAGTCCATGTCATCATCCATTTGTCTAAACCTACAGAAAGACCGACACCCAGAGCGAATGTAACATAAGTTATGGATTTCAGGAGACATGATGTGTCAACGTAGATTCATCCACCATAAAAAAACATGCCGCTCTGGTGGGGGGTGTTGATGGTGGGGGAGGCTGTGCATGTGTGGGGGCAGGACAGGAGGGTGGTAGAAAAATCTTTGTATTTTATGCCCAATCTTGCTGTGAACTTAAGCCT